AGAGCCACCAAAGTTGTTATCCTCATTAGGCATAAGAGGGGGGTAAATTTACATGTATATCTGTTAACAACTTTTCAGCTTAATAGCTTGCTTGGTCAGGAAACAAGCACATTTTGAATAATATTTCAGAGTTATTCCGGTGCGTGCCATAAAGCTAAGAACGCACAAACATGGTGGCCGTAAAATAACAAAAACATCTATCATTGAGCTTTGCTATTGAAACAAAAATTTGTACTCTAGAGCTGCGACACTTTGAAATAAATGCTTCTTCTAGTGCAAGAACGCATCATTGCAAGCTAATAAAAGCTTATCTCGTGATTTTTAGCCCTTTTAGCCTTTTTAAGGTATTAGGAAAAGTGCTTATTTAGATGTTTGCTTGTACAGTTCAGATAATCAGTTGCCTAGATATCCAAAGTAACTTCCAGATGTTTTCACTATTTGCCTGCTGGGAAGTTGGTGTACAATGGAGGTACACCAACATGGCGGTTCCATACTGGGCTGTGCAAATTTGTGCAAAATATTTTGGCAAATATCTGAGGCTTGGGAAAATGCATAAACCTAAAATTTGGAAAATGTATCTTCTTTATTTATCTCCTATAACATCACAATTTCTTGAATTTATTCACTAAATGGTTTTGGAATTAATTTTTTATTGTGTGAGAGTGCAAACAAAGAAAACCAGCTCTAGATCTCTATGTCTACTTTTTTCCTAATTTAATTAATTGAGAGTCATTTGCTTTTATGATTATTTAAAAAGGTCAGCACATGCATCATGTTTATCAGTACCATAGTTGCATCTTGTATCATAGCTGTTGAGTACTGTTTGAGAAGGATCAAGAACCATTCATTTAATGCATTTCATGTGATCTGAAGAGTTCATGCAAGTCTCTTGAGTAGTCTTGCAGGTAGGATTGTCAAAGTTGAATTAGCAGGTCTGGAGTACCGGGTATGTAAATTTGGCATCGTTCTTACTAATTACTTTGTATAATCACAAGCAACATATGGCAGTGAAAGATCATCCTTTCTTTGCTGAGGTGATGTTGTCCACTATTGCAATAGGCCTATTAGGAAAATTATAAACAATATTATTATTGGATGAGGTTTTTGTGATCTCCAGAATAATCAAGGTCGAGGTAGGGCTTATCAGCCAAAGCCGAAGGCAGAGGCTGATAACCCTTACCGAGACCTTGATTATTCTGGATATCACAAAAACCGAGTCTAATAATAATATTGTGTTATTATACATTGAACAAAAAAAATGGAAGTCATGGTTTTGCTTCTTCACTGACGGCAAGCAACACAAAGCGCGCAAACTTGACATGATTACCCTAAGAAATCATGCGCCGCGGTCACACATGACATGGTTACCCGTGACCTTGAGTGTCCTTGACATGATTATTGTATAATCTAGAGATATGACGTCACAGGTGTGATTTCAAAAATTCACTGTACGCTTTCGGCCAATCAGAAAAGAGATGGTGAGTTCAATGTATGTTTTCAAATATTATCCTTGCAACCTTTTCATGAAATATATGATCTTGAATATGATGACACTTCAGTCTGGATTGTAGGAAAGAGTAACACTTTTGCGGTGTCTAAAAACTGTTTGCATTCCATCTAGTGGCTTTTGCCTTTCTTCTCAGTTTATGCTGAATGTTCTGGTCCAAATATAGACATCCTGATCTTCCAGTTAGGTCTTTAAACTGTTTGTGTTCCAGTAGGTGGCTTGTCTTTTGTTGTCTTTAGTCTATATTGAATGTGCTGGTGAAAAAAAAAAAACTATGAGCAAATTGGGACGTTAGGTCATCTTAGCAAGTCTGCATATCTGGTGTAATGCAAACCCAAACTTCCTCTTTTTAAAAACAATAGTCAGTCTTCCCTTTAGGTCATGAAAGTTATGCAGTCTTGAGTGGTAGTGATATAATTATGTAGTCTAGATCTAGAATAAGGATATAGTTTAGAATGGTTTTAGTTTTAAATGCTATCCTTTGGTTTACCATATGCCTTTTGAGGTGTCTTGCGTCCAAGTGATGTAGCTATTTTGACATGTAAACAACAAAAACAAGTCCGGAATATTTTGTTTTGAATTTTTTTTCCCAAGAGCGAGTTTTGTACAATCACTCCACATCGTTCCGAATCAGATAATCAGGGAGACTAAAAACTCCTATTGAAGACATAAGCTTAACTTATAAGCTCATCTCACGGAAGCAACTAGTTAATTTTTATGGAAAACGCGAAAGTTTCTATGTAACAAAGTCACTTACCACAATTTGGCAGTTCACTTCAGCGTGGATCCTATAGGCAGAAACTTCCAGCGAACGTTGCGAAGACTGAACTGAACTAATCTTTTCGATAGATCACAGGCGGCCCAAACGTTGAATACGAGAAAACTATATAACATCTAGTGAGGGTCCATGTATCAACACAAAGGGTATAATTCCGCCATAAACCACGACACACCTCTGTAAACCCCTATACAGCACTATACGCCCCTATAAAGTACTGTTCACCCCTATAGAGCACTATGCGCCCCTATAAAGCGCTGCACACCCCTATACAGCACTATATACCCCTATACACCCCCATACAGCACTATACACCCCTGTACTGCATTATACACCCCTACACAGGAGTATAAACCCCTATACAACACTATACACTCCTACACAGCACTATACACCCCTATACAG